AGTCTGCACTCAGGGGAGAGCAGGCAGGGCAAAAAAACATGGCTGCCCTCAAGCCAAGCCTTGTGGGAAGGAAAAGGAGCCATGGGGGGATCTGGAAAGGTGACCCCTCCCCCATAGCCATCCCCCCCATGGAGTGATTGCCCCAAGGGCAAAGCATCATGGGAACAGGAGGAACCAATATGGCTTCCACGGGAGTGCAAAGCATGATGGGAAATGGATCAGGAGCCTTGTAAACAATCCCAAACTCCCACCCTCAGGTGCTGCCCGGGAGCACAAAGCATTGTGGGAAATTGGGGGATCAGGTATAAATACAGCCACTGCCCAACAAAGCGCAAAGCATCATGGGAAACCAAGGGAGCTGGAATAAACACAGCAGCTTTGTGGGAAACAAGGGGAGGCAGAAGTGACATCCCCCACCTCATCAATGCCCAGGGCCCGCTGCAAAGCACTGTGGGAAGTGGACCTCTGGGATAAATATGGTCCCCGCTCAGTTAATCCTGCCCCCCCACCTCCCCAGAGGGCACAAAGCATCGTGGGAGGGGGGGACGGAGGCTACAAGTTTGGCAGGACTTCTGCGCCCCCGCTGCAAAGCATTGTGGGAAACATCACGCCAGCGCCACAAGCACACGACACTGCGATTGGTGGGTTTCTAGCCACTTGAGGGGAGCCCACCCCAGTGAGGAGGGGCTGGTCCCATCAGGACTGGGGGGTGGGGGGCGTTGTCTCTGCCAGCCTCCCCCTCGCCCACTGCTACTTCTTCTTGGCCCGCTCGGCCATGTCCAGGGCAGCCATGTTGCATGAGGCAGAGACGAGGTGCACGAGGCTGATGAGGGACTTGAGGGCGGCGATGGGAGTCGAGACCCAGAAGATGAGACGGAAAAGACCCAGGCGTCCGGGGAGCACTGAGGGGGGAGGGGAGAGAGTTACACACACACACACACACACACACACACACAGCTCTGCCGGTGCCCCTCATTCCCGACCCGCAGCCCCCTGCTAGCCCCGCCCCGCCCCCCCCCCCACCTCTGCCGGTGCCCCCCACTCCCAACCCACAGCCCCTGCTAGCCCAGCCCTGCCTCCCCCAGCTCTGCCGGTGCCCCTCACTCCCAACCCGCAGCCCCCACACACCCACCTGCAGGCCCCTCGGTGAAGTGCAGCAGGTACAGCATGCAGTAGAAGAGCTCGTTGCCTGCACACATGAGGAAGAGGACGGGCTGGGGAACGGGAGGAAGCAGAGTCAGAGCAGCCTGTGGAACTCCCTGCCACAGGATCGAACTGCCAGCCCCAGGGGGCAGGAGGAGGATTCAAGGGGCTGGGCAAGTTGGCAAAGCATTGTGGGATGTGGGGGAAGGGCGGGGGGGGTGTCTCTGGAATAAATATTGCTGCCTCTGAATCCCCCCCCACAACAGCTATCGCCTCCCAGAGCTTGAGGTGGAGGACAAAGCATTGTGGGAAAGGGAGGCGCCCCCAAGCTGCAAAGCATTATGGGAAAGAGAAGAGACCCAGCAGTGCCTGGCGGGTTTGTAGAGAAGGGGGGCCCGTGACTGGGGCAGGGGGGGCTGTGACGGGACGGGGGTTTCACTCACCCGCGAGGTGTAATACACGCGCAGCACCGGATTCCCCGTCAGGTCAATGCTCTTGTGACTGTCGCTGCCCTGAACCACGGAGCTGGGGAGAGGCGGGAACATCAGGGGGGAGGGGGAGGGAGACAAAGCCCGCCCCCCCCAGCCCCAGGGTGGCCCCAAGCCCCGCCCCCAGGGCAGCCCCAAGCCCCGCCCCCAGGGCAGCCCCAGGGTGGCCCCAAGCCCCGCCCCCAGGGCAGCCCCGGGCCCCGCCCACCTGTGCAGGTGCAGCCAGTGGCTGGCGACGTCCAGGCTCATGCTGAGCTGGTAGAGGAGGGCGCGGGGCGGGTCCAGCAGCGCCAGGTTCACCAGCAGGCACATGGTGGCGCAACGATCGGTCAGCATGTCCAGCATGGCGCCGAACCGGGTCCCTGCCACCGGTGGGGAGGGGTCAGAGCCAGAGCCCCGCCCACACGGACAGAGCCCCACCCACCTCTCTGCCCCCCCCACCCAGCCCCCCATGGCCCGTGACAGCGGTGGGGCCCTACCTTGGTTGAGGGCCCGGGCCGCGTGGCCGTCAAACGCGTCCAGCAGGCCGCTGAGCAGGTAGGAGGCGGCGGCCGGGCCGGGGTCGCTCGGCATGAAATAAAAGGCGACGAAGAGGAGAAGGATCCGGGCGTAGCCTGCAGGGGGCGACAGACACAGTGCTCCTCACTCCCGACCCGCAGCCCCCCCCAGCTCCGCCCTGGGCTCCCCCGTGCGTTACAGCCCCACGCAGCTCCCAGCCCGTGGGGGAGATTCACAGACTTCTCCGGGGCCGGGGGGGCACTGGGATCGTCTGAGCCCCGACCTGAGAACCCCCCGGCTGGGCTGAGCTGCCAGG